GCTCCACACAGCTCAGCTCCACACAGCTCAGCTCCACACAGCTCAGCTCCACACAGCTCAGCTCAGCTCCACACAGCGCTCTGTACACTGCACTCTCCACACAGCGCTCAAAGCAGCTCACTCTGCAGCTCACTCTGCAGCACTCCAGGTGTGCGCCTACAAAGGAGCACAGGCCACGCCCCCTAAGGAAGACCTGTGAGGAAGCACAATTAAGGAAACAGGCGGCAGCTGGCTGCAATTAACTAATGCAGCAGGGCCGTCACAACTTGGAAAATTGATCTTAGTATTTAGAGAAATACGAACATCTGATTACTTATTGTTTGGGTTTTGGTTGAATTTTGCACAATGCTTGCCAGTGGTTGTGGCCATCAGGGAGGTTTGTGTTCTTTTTGGTTAGCTGGTCCCCTGCATTTTAAAAATGCCCTGTCACTTATCAATAAAAAAAGAAAAGTCCTCAGAGGAAAAAAACATGGTTAAACATGTTGATAAGGAAGTACTGTTTGCATTTTTTCATCTAAAACTAAATACGATGACCGTGAGTCTGCAGAAACACCACCGCGTGTGCAGTCTCACATGGMGGATATTTTTAGTTTAAATACCAGTACACATTGTGGGGTATTTCAGATCTGACCTTGTCCACCCCCCCCACCATATTGTTGCAACACATTCTAAAACATACTCTGGAAAAGTAGGTGGACCTCCACTCCTAGCTGCGTCGCTCTGCACACGTTTTGTACATCGGTTCCCTCAAAACACTTCATATTGTCACATCTTTGCCGCTGTTCAGTTTTTGCCTCAGCCATTTCAGGGTTTTTATCTCACTACGAGACCATGCCTGAGTGGCTCAGTGAGGAGCTGTCTAGCGCCCTACGATCTGGCTCACTCATACTCGCTGGATCTCAACTGAGGCACAGTTAAATGGTGTGGGGGCCCAGCTCGTGGGTGTTTGAGGGAAGGGGGTGCATGTGTGTGAGTGTGTGAGGGTGATGATGTCATCAGTTGTTCCTGGGGTTTTTTTTCCTCACCACATGTGTGAAGCTGAGGCTGCGAATTTGTTTGGTCTTACAGAGACGTGCAGCAGAGCTGATAAGTTACTTGCATAGATACATAAAAGGGAAAACTGAGAACCTGTTTCACAGGCAGTTCCTGGGGGCCAGTTGACTGTATTACATTGCTAAATGAATGAACTTTTGCTAAAAGCAGCAGAGAGAAGTGCAATCTGTGTGGTTAAAGATTATGGCACCTGGTTTCCCCCTGGCTTTTGTTCAAAGAACAAGGGCATTTTTATTTATAAATGAGGATAAGACGGAGAACTGATGTGTGTTTGAGTTATATTATTCATAAACTAAAATTATATAAATTAATCATCATCAGTTTCACACACACATCAGTTTCTGTCTGAAAGAGTGTTTTAGAATTTTTCCTAATTTTTGTTTTCTCTCTGTGTTTTGTGTGAGATTTTTTCCCGCAGGGCAAATGCTGTTCTCATCGAGGGGGTGCTCCATTTCCACCTGGACCGGCTGGGAGCTGTGCACCACCTCGTGCTAGCCTTTCCAACGGGTGTTTCCTGGGGGTCCTCATCCCTCCCACATCTCACATTCCACCTTTGAGCAGGCCGTGTTTTGGGGCTGCTCTCTCTCTCTCTGGGCGAGGGTTCTAAAACGCTACACCTTTGGCCCTTTTGTTTTGGTGTGGTTTCTGATCACACACCCTCTGCCTTCATGAAATAAAGAGAACAGAACTGYTTTTACACCCAAGGCTGGATTAACTGGTTGTGAGTGCTTTTCGCCACACTGTTTGCATTTTTCCCGCCACCATGAAACTCAATATGAATTGTTCTATCTGAAATACTGGACTAACCTTGTGCTTTTCTGACTGGCTTATTATTATGCATTTTTAAATGTTTCACTGTTTTGCCTGCAATACAATTATGTCTGTGCAATGTTTGAAATTTCCTATATTTTTTTCTCAGGGATTGGTTGATGCCCTGGCTAGCTGGGTTGGTATTTGGCTCCCCCTCCTAGGCAGTATCAGGGTAACCCTTGGTCTTCTTTTTTTCTGAAGCCCATCTCATAACATCATTTTTAAACACTTCGACACTTCTGGATGGTTTGGGGTTGTGTTTTTTAATTTTATGGTTTTGTTTGTTTTGGTTTATGTTTTCTTAGTGTTTTTGTCCTGTGCAGCTCCCTGGTGAAGCTTTGATGATTGTCAGCTGTGTCTCTCAGAGACTCCTCCAACGACAGTCATATTTTTGTTTATTTGTTCCTTTCTGAGTTTGTGGAAGGCTGGGGAGGGGGTATTCTGCTACCTCGAGCCTGGCATGCGATGACATATTTTAGGGACTATTCACCCATCTGGATTTTGCTGTTGAGGTCCTGGGAGCTGAGAGTTGCTGTCTAACAACGTCTATGTCATTCACAGAAGGACTAGATCTAAGCTTACTTTAGTGTTTAGCTTAGGTGTTACAAGAGGAGGGGGTGCYATTTCTTTTAGTTTAACTTATTTAGACTTAGCTTTTGTTTATTTTTTGTTAAACTTTTGTTTTTTGTGTTCTTCTCTTCATTGCACAAGCCATCTCATGCCAGTACTCCATGCATTTTGAGATTCATGCCTTATGGGCGCTGTGGTTTTTGTTTTTAGTGCTTTTGAATTGCATGGGGTGGGAACTGAATTTTGCACATTGTCCTAATTTGCATTACTTAAGGTTCATTTATTGACAACTAGTTGTTATTAAGCTAACAATTTATCCAAGATAAGATTCTGCTGGAACATAGGCAGCTAACACAATCAAATTCGCTGGGAGGCAGAACTTGTGTTGTGATACCTTGTCTGACTTTGGACTTTTAAGTTTTTTGAATTTCGACATGTCTTTCTTCATCATTTCTTCTGATGTGTAATGATGTTTCATTTGTCATTTATGCCTCTTTCCTGTTGTATCTTACATTGATTGAATGTATATGTTGTTGGTCGTCATTTAACTTGCACTATTTTTCCCATATTTCTCCATTGTATTTGTTGTTGGGTGATACATTTGTGTTTGGACGTTTCATAATTATTCCATTTGGTTTGGTTTTGAGTATTGTTTACTCAAGAGGAGGGATTGTTATGGATTAATTATGTATATCTGTTCTACCTTGACACTTTCCAGTACTCATATCTTATAATTTCTTTCGCTATTAATCTGTTTGGCCCAGACAACAGGACTCCAGCAAGGGATTGACCTCTTTTGTTTGATAAGGAACTCTTTGGGCTAAGAGCCCTGTTATTGGCTGGGCAGTTACATTTGTTGATCTATGATTGGTTGTAAACTGTCACGTGATGTTATTGTGATGTTATATTATTGGCTTGCTGTCTGCTGACGGGAGCCAGACAGC